TCAGACTTTGCAGGTTGTTAACCGCGACTCAACATTTGGAAGAGGTTAAAATTACTTCAGAACTGATATCGAATATCTTTACACCTAACGGCAATAAACACAATTCAGGAATATATATTATATAATTTGAGTTGCTACACCATTTAGAAGTTCTCGGTTATTGTAAATTTTCAAGCATCATTTCGGTCTTCATTTGAGTGGCTTGTTTCCTTATTATCTTGAGATGTGATATAACAAGCTATGTTTTGAAGTGCGATTGCATTAAGGTCATTAAGGTTCATTAAACATAATTAGGCAACGCTCCAAGCAATGGTCCTTTTTCAAAAACCACCTGGTGGGCTGTTTGAAAAAGCTGTAAACAGCGTTTTTCTTATCCAAAGAACATCTTATAATAACTTGCAATTGTATCTTTGCATTCATGACACCGCATCAGTTTGCCCATCTCTGTGTAAAACCATTATTAGTCCTGACAAGAACTTAGCGTGTGCACTTATCAAATTATCTCCAAAAATAAAAGTGTCACAGCTCCTTAAACGCATCACTGGTTTGAATCGACAAAAGATAAAACGTTTTTGAATCTATGCTCTCAAATCAGCAGCGTGGATCATACCAGTCATTTAAGACTATCTTATCGCTCAGAAACGTAACTTTACAGTTAAAATAATTTGCGACAAATCAAATAAGCATTTCTTGGTAACAGCTGGGAAGATTAAGAGGCGACCTTTGCCATGCACATAAGCATGTATGGTTGAACGATTGAAATACTCCTATGCTAGTCATAACAAAGAGGACTGAATCGCCCCAGGGATAAATTTTGATTGAATGTGCCGCTCTAAAATCACTGTCTCATAGAAAAATGAAGGGATTATTCTCAGTGCGCGGTTCTTACTGAAATCGCGTTCCATCATTTTTTACTAAATGTCCCAGTGTTTCCCGTCAGCTAGGCTACACGAGCCACCCAAATTCTGTAGAGTCCCGTCAGAACTTGGCGGGTGGTGCGAAAATGCGGCCGACTCACGTTCTCTCCTCAAGAAAAATTCATCCCACACTGAAGTACGTGGCCATGTGCGAACTAAACGCAGCTTGAGACAGGTATTCGGCAGAAAATCGAAGTAATTGATAGTTCGGGAAATTGGACGCAGGTGAGGTCACGCAGATATACTATCGATCCACGCGATTATGCGAAACCAAAAACATGTGAAGAAAACAGTGTTGAGAGACAGACGTCTAGATTAATCCGTATGAAGCCTAACTGTCACGCGCTTAAGCAGCTTAAACGCTCGTAAATCCTAGCAGAAGCATGACACTAGTTTATGCTTTCTTCACTACGATTGCCGAGTTGACCTCTATTGAAAGCCATACTGAAATTTTGTCAGGAATCACTAGGGCCAATTGCTTATTCCACGAAATCATCACGGCTAAAGTAATAGTGTTTGGTTAATCTTCTTTGTTTCTTTCAACTCGTAGACGCAGCAACACCAAACACCAACACCAAATTTGAGCAGGAAACGCCAAGCCTACAACAGGAAATATTTGGTCCATCATGAGCGCCAATAACAGCAGTGCGCCTGTACCCGTACAAGTTGGGTCCTCAGAGAATAGCGTTTCTCACAAAGTCATTTCTTCCATAGCAATTACAATTCTCATCATTCTGACACTCTTTGGCAATGGCCTCGTCATTTCCGCTTTTTATGTGTTCAAAAGGATTCGCAAGAGTGTCACGAACTGGTTTATACTCAGCCTGGCTATAAGTGACATGATGGTAGCATTTATCACAGAGCCTATTTGGTTGGCTGGCGAGATCCTCTCTTGGCAATATCCACCAGAAATCGATGTGCCGACCTTCATCATGCTTTGGACCATGATCGACATAATCTGTGCAATTTCATCAATCTCTAATTTGATGTTCATCTCCGTGGATCGGTTCTTTGCTATCAAACATCCTCTGATCCATCACACGAAGATGACTCCAGGCAAGTGCAAATGGATTATCCTGCTTTCCTGGGTGCATGCGGGAGGTACATCGTGTCTCTATCTAGTGGACCCTATTTGGAAGTACGTGGTGATCTTCCTATTTGGATTCATTATCCCTCTAATTGTCATACTGTTTTGTTACGGTGGGATCCTTCACGTGGTAATCTCAAGGTCTCGACTCACACATCGTCATGGGAAACGCCTTTCCACTGAATATAAAACGGCCAAAAGTCTAGGCGTCGTGACTGGCGCCTTTGTTGCATGCTGGCTTCCATTTTTCATCGCTTCTTTGGCGTTTTGGTATTGTGAATCTTGCAGAAGAGATATCGACACCATTCCAGCAATCACCTCCGCGGTGAAATGGCTGCATTACTTAAACAGCTGTTTAAATCCCATAATTTACGCGTTTTTAAATCCCACTTTCAAGATTGCATTCAGGAATCTAATTAGGAGGATGTGTGGCAAAGAGACTTTAAACTCTTTAGAAACTGAAACTTCGTTTGCATCATTTCGTCGACGAGACACTTATGCCTCCGTGAAGAGCAACGAGAATGGAAAGGAAAAATCAGGCAATGTTCCCAATGGAAATGCATCTTTTTACAAGAGTCCCCTTTTGAAACAAGAGGGTACCAAGATGAATGGTGCAGTTAAGCATAACTCTATCAGCGATGATGGCAGTGTAGAGCGCGGTATTGAAACACCCGAAGACAAATACTTCGGAGGTGACCCATTTTGTTCTACACCGCCTCCACCATCTTATGAGGAATGGTATCAGTTAAAGAACTGCGAAAGCAATGATGTATCACAAACAAGTAGCAGCTACGTCCCTGTTGCAATAAATAGCGATTGGAAGGAAGCACCGAAGCAAACATGTCCCATACAGTGCGACAGAACTGTGTCCTTTTCGGATGACGTTAAGATATGTGGCGAAAAGTCACCAGAGAAGACAGTAAGCGATATGCCTGCGTTGGAAGGTCACATCTCTACCTACCATGACGAGAAAAGCAATCAGACTTTCTTACTCGTCGATGGAGTACAGATTCCAGACGGTGAAATCCGAACAACCGATGTCTAAAAAAAGAGACATTAAAACTAGGACATGGGCAAGTATATTAGGTTATTTGAGATACAGTGGAACGTTTCTGTACGACGATCAGTTTATAATACAGATCTCTTCAGTATTACCTCAAAAAAGCTTGATAGGCGGTCAGTCTTAAGCCCCGTTCAAACGGTCATGATATTTGATCATAGTTTCAACTATCTAGCGCGTTTGAACACGAACTATCATGTACTTCCATCCTCTATTATCGACTGTACGTAGTTTGGACACGTTAAAATTCGACGTGATAGTTGACGATAGTTTTTGCCGTTTGAACGAGCGGATGATAAAGAATGAAAGTTTTTCGTTAAACAGTTTTTCCAAAAACGGACTCAAACCGAAATGGCAAAGGGTGACATGACTAAAGTAGCTGTCAAAACTTCGCAGAATGTCTCGTAATTCATTCTCATCATCTCCAGGTAGGCTTCAGTATCTTTAACTCGCAACTTTGTGACTAAAATTTCAAATGCCACCGAAATTGCTTACATCGGCGCGCCTCATATTTATTTTCAATTACACGATCTCATTGCGTTAATTTTTCAACGGTCATCAACTATCATGAACCGTTTGATCTAAAACATGAAAATCAATGATGGTGAATGATAGTTGAAACTACCATCGACTGTCATCAACTATCATGACAGTTTGAACAGTTCTTCCGACCTATAGCTATTTTCACGCCCAAAAGGTTCATAGCTTGAAGGTGGTCGTAAGAACGGGGTTCCATTGTTCTCCCAAAAATTGTGAAGGCTAAACCATTATGGTCTGCCATTCAAGGCAAACCAGCAATTTCCTTTTTGCCATATTCCTTTGTTGATAAAAACTTAGTTCTCTATGTTTCAGCTGGACAAGGAAACGATGCGAAATTATCTGGGATACTAGTGGTCACACATAGTCTGCCATGTATGTTCAAAATTACCCGCTGTCAGAAATTAACTAGTTTCCACATAATTATCTGATTCATTAACACAGAGAAATTTGAAAGGGCTGAATATCAATTAAATAAAGTGAACTTCTCCATCTACGGGACACTAACGATTAATGGAAACATTTTTCGGTTGTGTCGACAAAAGGGACAAACGCTTTTCAAGAGACGTTTGCCTCTTGGATCAGGAAGGTCGTGATGAAAACGATAAAAACACAGGAATATCGATTATTTTGTAAAATAACTTCTTGAGAGCCTCTCTCTCTATGAAACGATAGCCTAAGCTAAGAGCGCAATTTAGATGAAAGACAGATTGATGAATTAGTCAAACATCCCCTTCATATGATAAAAATATATACTTTATAGACATTCATCTTCAAGCATTGAGTCATTTTTAATTGAGTGTCGAAAATAATCCTAGATTGCTTGAATTTTACTTTTATTCGCTCTAGGATTGGTCTAAAAAACTCACTCCACTATCTCAACCAATAAACCAATCCCAACTTGGTCACCCGCGTTTTCCCGCACTTCGATTAGGTCACTTGTTTTTACTTTGCGTTCTCATTGGCTAATGATGATGTAACCTTTGTTCTGATTGGTAGTTGTAATTACTCTGGTTTTGATGTTCGACACTCAGTTGAAAACTGCTCTAAAGAAGCAAGAGAAGACCATAATCAAAGACTGATGCCACTGTATAGGTCTCATAAATAAGTCAATTCAATTTTGAGGTATTATATCTTGATTCACGCCGGGCCTATCGTTCGGTTTGAGCATGTCTTATCTGTAGGTAACCCAGAATAAAAAAGTCACAGATAAATAAAGGGGGTAAGTTTCTAAAGAAACTGTGGTGCTGCGTCAGTGGGGGGGGGTATAAAGAGATCATTTGATTTTATCAAATGAGTTGACAATGTAAATTGGCCACCGTAAAGAGTGTTTAAAGCTGACGTAACGAGCTTTTGACCCTCGTCAAAGAAGCGAATGGCGACACGTTTGAACTCGAGCCTCCGGGTTATTAGTTGTGTGTTATTACCAACTGAACACTTAAAATCCTGATGATTAAAATTCATTTTAATTTGTCTGTGCCGTTAATGTAGGATTTTATTTACATGCACGGCTTTATCAGCAACACCCACCCCCACAAAGTAGCTAAATGGTACACAATTAGCAAATTTATGGATACCATTTACACTACGGCTCGCCACACAACACTTCTCTCACTACAACCTTACATGGCGGCCCAAGTAACCAAACATAAGTCTCCTAAGGAGTTTTAAATTCACATGTGCAAGTTCCTACATATTGGCCCTTCATATTACAGCGAGTCTTTCTCACAGTTGTTCCCTACTCATAATCAAGACCATAAACTGTTCCATATTCAATAACTTAATATTTCTTGGAAAGACTTGAATTAACAAAACAATGGCAATCATAATAATTTTCTCCCTTTACGAATACCATATTTCACTTATTTTAGCGATTTTCCCATTCACATGTGCCAGTTCTTACATCGAGTCTTTCTCACAGTTGTCCCCTACTTATAATCAAAGCCACTGATAAACTGTTTCATATTCAATAACTTAATAATTTTTTGGAAAGATTTGGATCAACAAAACAACGGAAATCATAATAATTTTCTCCCTTTACTAATACCCTATTTACTTATTTTAGCGATTTTCCCTATTTATAATAAGAGAAAATCGCGAAACTTCAACCCTTACGCCAGGAAAACTAAGATCGTTTTCTTGCATAAACCCTCGTTACTCTCTTTACGAAGTATCAAACTGTATCAAAATATTGTTGAGTAAGTACCAGCAAAAATATCAAACATGTTAAATATATATGCTCTCCTACGCAATAATTCTACCTAACAAAACTATTAACAAATGTTTATGTGACTATCCCTAACGCTACCCAAATAAATCCTTTCTGATACGACCATCTGACTGCATTAAAAAAATAACAATTATTCATTAATCAACTTCATAGTGTGTATTTCGATTGGGTGTTGCAAACCAAAACCAAAGTAATCACAACAGCCAATCAGATGAAAGGAAAAGATTACAACAAGCCAATCACATGTCAAAGAAAAATACAAGTGAACTGTCCAAAGCGCGGGAAAACGCGGGTGACCAAGTCGCGATTGGTTTTAGTTTTGAATTTGATTGGTTAAGAGAGTGGCGCAAGTTTTCTGGAAGACAATTCACAAAGATAAACAGAATGGAGGGATTTTTGGATGTTCCGTGCACCTTGCATATCTATGGTACATTCTTCCTTTCTTAAGTAAACCTCTGGCATCTCTAATCAATTTTCAATGTGCTGGCGTAGTCTTCTTGTCTCTGTTGGCGGAATTCTGGCTTCACAGACGTTCGTTTCAGTTGTCCATCCCTGAAAGTCAAAGGGAAGAAATAAAACTTTACGTCAAAGCTGCTTGAATTGGCAAAATTCATCGGCAAGAGCTACGACGCAAAGCTAAGAGAGCCAGCTTTTCACAATTCATCTAACGTTCAGTTCATTTCGTTCAACTTAAACTTCACGCAACAAAAAGCTAAGCAATTCACCTGTCGTCTGATACAAGATACAGCTTCCTTAGTGTACAACTGCCGGGTTAATAGGTTTAGTTTAGCGGCAGCTGAGCGCAACTGGTGGCCGACGTGTTAGTCGGCAGTCGGCTGACAGTCGGCTAACAGTCGGGCCACGTCGTTGACCAACGCGTTGGTTGGAATTTAAAAGTTTCAAAACCTGACTGATTATGTACCGTTGATTTTCAACCGGGAAAATTCTGTAGCTCTTCAGAGCCGGAGAGAAAATTTTCATAAACAAAGTTGTCTGTGTCCGAACAAAAACGTACCAGATAAGGTCAACCAGCCCTCCCTGACGAGCAATCTCTGTCTTGACGCGATTTGCAAATTGTGCAGCGCTCTCGTCCTCCTGTAGTTCAAGGAAAATTGTTAATTGTGAAACGCCATGAAGTAAGAAGTCTGAAATCGAGCACATCAAAGTTCGCATATGAGCCCGCCACTAAAAAAAGCAATAGTAAGCGTATTAAAATTCATCGACACAATTCTTTGTACCTGACGAGTCATTTTCGGAAGATACCACACATCACAGACTAGTGCCCAGTTTGTCAGCAGAAGAAATAGGTACATAGCGAAACCTTCAGAACTGGAATTCCAGAATGCATTTCCAAAAGTAGGATCGTACTAAAGAAATAATATTTATCAAAAAATACAATAAACTCTCAATAACTTGTAGACAACAATATGATGTGTAAAAGTTGACACAGTTTTATTGATCTGTCTTTTCGCCCGAAAAAGAAAAAACAGCTCTACCAGTAGGAAAACAAGCCAGTCAGAGCGTACATAAAAACTGTTGCCAGCCACCTTAAAAGGGAATTTTCCACAATCACAGTCAACCAATGTTTCGTTTCACTTTGCTGAGATTTTGAAGTTGGCTTTGGTTTAACGACATTCAATTGAAATACACTCTAAGCGCAATCATTTCTGCATCTGATTTCCCCTTCTCACGGAAGGTTCAACAGCACGAACTAAAAACAAATGAACAGTTCCAGGACCTTACCTTTATTGCTACAGGATAAATATCTCCACCAATCTCAAAGCTGCCCTTCTTAAACATCATCACGGATGTGTTGTTGATGCATGTTCCTGTGAAGACAAAAAAATTTTACACCATACTTTACTACTTTTGAGGCAAGGCAAACAATAGGGTCAGCCGAAAAATTGTGGCGAAAGGTAATCGATGGCGAAATACAGAACGGCAATCGACGCCGAACGATAATCGATGCCAAAATACAGAACGGTAATCGACGCCGAACGATAATCCATGCCAAACGGTAATTGATGCTGAATGGTAATCGATGCCGAACGGTAATCGATGCCTCCTAACTCCCTCCCTATCTCTCAACACGGTAACCGGTCGTTTCGCTAACAACCAGTTCGCTGACGTTTCAGGTCGTTTCGCCAACGTATTAGGGCAGTTAAATACTTCGAAGAAAACTAAACTAAAAGAAACTTTAGTGAAATGACCTAATACTTTGGCGAAACGACCTATGAGACTTTCGTGAGCTGGTCGACTCGCAGGCGAAACGACCACAATTCCCAACACAACTGACACATAAAAAGTAAAAAGTATATGTGGGACTTTTTAAGAAAACCATGACGGTGAAGGAATAAATTTCAAAGGATGACAGATGTGAACCAACAGAGGAATCTGCTCACCTTCAGGAAATATCAACATTGGGTTTTTAGTTGCATCTTGAACATGTTCTCTCAATCTGGGGATAAAGTACCATTCGCAGTTAGTGAATAACTGCACTGAACATTTTCGCGCCAATATTTCTTTCTGCAATCACAATTATATCGCTCTAATTAGAGCACTGCCCGTATTCTACGAGGTTTTTCAGCGACTAAAATCTCTTGAATCGTACGCATTTGAGAGAAATTGAAATTCCTTGACTAATCACGTAAACTATGTTTTCTTTAACAGAATTTCAGCCTATTCCTGGCGTTCAGTTGGCAAAACGAAGCGCGATAGTAAACAACGCAATAGCAGCAGAGGAGTAAAAAACGAGGAAGATTTGGATCGGTTTTCTCGCATTCGCTCCGCCGCTTCTATCGCGCCGTTAACTATTTAGCATTATGCTTTGTTTTAAAAACTGAAATGCCTGGAACAGCTTGGTTGAAATTTAAATCGCACAGGCGTAGTATCCTAGCATCACTCCAATTACTTAATTCGACCTTTTCTTAGCACAATAAGGACCTTGTTGACGGGGTTCAAACGTAACTTGTGTCATTTAAAATAAAAAATATATCATGTAGAAATACTGGATAGGTTTAAGTAATGCTATCACGGAAAACTATCTTTCTACGCGTACATAAACAATACCTTTTTGTTACAATCAATCTGTCCTTCATTTCTGTTCTTTCAAACCAAATGTGATCTTGAGTTTTAGCAAGAGTTCTCTCGAAGAAACCAAACAACCCAGGCTGTCTCTGACCAACCTGCGTGTGCAAACAAGTTTACAGATGAATGATCAAGTCCTTTTTTAATAAGGCAGGAGTTGTCCTTTCACAGTGGCTCTCGAGTCTCTTTACCCAAAAGTAGAAATGGGTGATGGACAAACGTCCCATCTGAGTGTAGGGCAATTAAGGAGGGGGGAGGGGTGGAGAAGAATTATTTTGATGGAAAGAAAATTTACACCTACATCTGTAATCACTTTAAGCAACGAAAACAACCTTTGGCAGGAAAGGCCCTCACAGTTCTGGCCTGTACATTAACTAAACCGAAAGTATAGAAGAGAGGGATAAGCATTGAGGTTCTACTCAACATTTTGCTTTGCTACAATGCTCGCATTAGAACCACGATTGCTTCATTCTTTTGATACGATAAAATACGATAACTTTATTTGTACACGGTATTTTAAGATACCACACTATCTACCTAACTAAAATAAAATAAATAAAAATATTTAAAAAATGAAAAACTACTTTTCATAGAGGCCGTGTCTAAAAATTTACCTAAACTTAAAATATTTTTCAGTTTCAGTGCTTATAAGCGCCAACCCTCCTGAATCTGCATTTCATCAGACATTGACAAATTCTCAGTTAAGTATTTGACCATTTATCTTACCAGAGAGTAGCACCGGTCACACATTAATATAAGCACATCGAGGGGAGTGGTGTGGTTTGCCACACATATTCCACCTCCATGGGCGATGTTCTCTCTGAAAGTGAAAAGCCAAAACGTTTGCACAAACACTTTGGATTGATGTCACCACTGCTGAAGTTTATCTGCATGTGTGTAATCTAAGAATATCATTAAACATTATACTTACTAAGAAAACTCTGATTGGCCGAGAGCATATAGTCAATATACAATAGTGTGTGAAGTTGACATGATAACCCAATACCAGCAGTGGATATTGCAGTTATCTTGAACAGTTCAAAGTCTGCCTAGTTTCCTAGTTTAATTTTGCAAACTCAGAGAGAGGAGTCTCCATTTGCAGATTGTTTAAGAATTTATAATACAAAAATTATTGAAGGCAGGTTCCACACAATACCATGAATTATCAAACCTTGTGTCTATGATATTAATTTTGCCTCGCCTTCCACTTTGGCAGATAACTCAGACCTTGGCATTGAAAATTCATGATATCATGCTAAAACTAATTCAACAGAATTAAAACATAAAAAAAATTCAAAAATCTTACTTGTTGTGAAATGTGATCACAGCCGAAACAGACCTTGCAAAAATTCTAAATGCAACCAGCATGCATTTCGTGTCCAGCCAGTTTCTGAAACTAACGAAAAAAAAAATTGACAATTAGTAAAGGACAGTGTTAAGTAAGAGTTTGATCTTTTACTGCAAGATACAAGTCAACAAAAACCTCCACAGTTGGAACAAATTGTTCTGATATCTCAATTAAATCTTTAAAGCTTAAACTTCTTTGTTTAAATGAAAGGGAAGTAATCAGTTGGAGGGAAAATTTAAACAGATTATAGCTATTTTTAACCTGGTATTTTGCACGCACATTTTGTTGGAAAGGCTGAAATTTCACAGTTTCCAATACTATCAACATAAACCCCTAAGGTGGGGGGGGTCCTAGTCGGCAGCTTGACTTACAGCATCTCCTGTGAGTAGTGTGGTCAAAAGTACGGGGTTGGGGAGGGGGTTAAATTGACAGTTAATGATTCTAAGCTGCATTAGGTGATGTTGCAGGTATAGTAAATGTATGATTTTCATATGCAGTTATAAGAAAAACCCATTAATTAGGGAACTTAGCAAATTACCTGGATTTTGGGAGCTGAACAATAAAGATTCTTGATGAAATCAGCAAAGCCATGCCAAGGAGAAATAACGTGAATCTACAAATACAACAGGGATTTTATTATCTTACATCATGCTACTGATACAAATTCATAGCTAAATCCTTCAAATTATGCTCCATATAAGGTGGAAGTTAATTGAATGTGAATATATTACATTGCCTAAGAATGAATCAAAATAGTGGAATGGTGTACTCAAGGTTTTTTTGACCAAATCACAGGACATGCAGTTTTCAAGTCGTCACTCTTGTCCATAGGAACAGGACTCCCTTCTCTACAACAGGAGTTTCCTCTTCAGATAGGGTGATAATTTACTTTAAATGCTGATGGATGTAATCTAATTTTGTTAACTTAGTTCTCAGTTAATGATGAATGAATCATCTTAAAAAAGAGCAATTTGAGTGTTCCAAACAGGCATCAAATGAACACAAGTTCAGGCTCTCTGTAGCTCAGCTACATTGTATTTGACTTCTTCATGTGAGAAACATGCTACATGCTGATAGGATTTACACTGCCTTGTTGCCTTAAAATGTCTCATTGCTTTGGAACAACTTTTTACCAGCAAAAAAAGACAATGAAGGAGAAGCCATCAGTTCCATGTTTTAACTTACCGCATGGGAAATAAGATAACATATCTCACAAAACAGCCCAGCACCCACATGATGGTTAACTTGACACTGGAAAAGGAACAGAGTTAACATGATCATGATCATTATCTACTTAATCCTCCTAAACAGTACCATACACTTCACACCAAAGTGAAAATGAATATCAATCATAGTTGCCATGCATTTTTCCCTGATTGGTTTTTACCTTGTTCCATGTTATTACTTTAAATATATCAAGGGGCAGATAACCAATACCCTAACAATATTAACACCTCAAACCTAATTCCACCCCCCTCCTTCCAAACCAAGCTGGAAGGAACTCTATGGTGATGGAAAATGGGAATTTAGCAATGGATATTCCACTAGGTGGCTCATCTTATCCACTGTTTCCGGGTCCATTTGGAATTTGGAATATTGGTTTTTGGGGAGGGAGGAAAACTGGAGGAAGGAACAAGGATGAACCAACAACAAACTCAACCCACATGCTATGCAAGCTTTAAAAATGGAACCTGGGCCAGAGCAGTGGAATATGAGCCCTCTCACCACTGCGCCATCCCTACTACTCTTTAAAGAGAAACTGACACACACCAGATACTAAGCCATTTATTACATTAATATGAGAGGATTGTCCTGAATATTGCCAGGATCTACAACATTGAAAGATTTAGAAAAGATAAATTAACAAAGGTATCAAAGTGAAGTGAACTTCTTCAACATTTCATTTGCATGTAGACACATTTATTTTCTTCTGAAGTATTATAGTGGGCCAGAATCTTAGAACCCCAAATCTGAATGGCTAATCATGGCTCATAACTGTCAATATTAACAACACTGACCATGGTATTTTTTTCATGGTATATGGAATTTTTTCCATGTAGTAACATGGAAAAAGGTAAAACAGCAGAAAAAATAAAAAATGTATCAACTAATCTAGGTCGATCCACATGGGAAAATACTTTGCCCTTGGTCTTGAAACTGTGTCCTTTGTTCCTTGGGAAAGGTATGAATTTGGGACATTATATAATGACTGATTTAAAAAAAAAACAACAGCATCTTACCTAATATAGTGATAATTCTCATTTGTCCTGGTGAGGAGATTCCAAGATTCCAACTCTGTAATAAAAAGGAAGGAGAGTAAGAACTGTTCAACAAAGAAGAACCTTAACACTTTAACTCCCTAGAAGTGATTAACTTGTAACTTCTCCCTATAATATCCATACACTGTCCAGCCGTCAGGTAATGAGAATACTCAAACTTATCAGGAAGAAGTTGTTATCTTGATCTAACACCAACTTCTCATAACTTATTAACAAGGAATTGTAAGCCAGTTAGAGGAGAGAAATAAAAATCAGATCTTGGGAGTGAAAGGGTTCATGTTAGACTCAACATTAAGTTTTAAAACATCTCACTAACTTTAAAGTATTCTTCATTAGTATGCTAGACTTCTCCCCATGAACTCTATGAGTCACTTTAGCAAATACAACACATTTTTTTATTGTCAACAGGGAAACAAAATGAAACAACTTTGTATGAACCCTAAAAGGAAATCTCCACTAAGATTTTCCCTCAGTACAAAACAGCCATCTCCTTTGAAATCTTCTTATAAATCAACTAAATTCATAGCATAATTCTTTTTTTTTTATTTCAGTAATTTAGCTGAGTTGTCAGTCTTCCATTTCTACGTGCTTCAGCACTTCCAGATCAATTTTGATACAGACCTTCTGCAGAAAATCGCTTCGTTACTTCATCATCTATAATGGCCTGCATCAAACACAACAAAAATTTCACTTTCAGATTTGATTTTAATCATCTAGCAGGTAAGATTGAGAGGAATGTCTCACACAGAAACTTTAACACACCAAGTACAGGAAGCCAGTGAAATCTGAACAGAATGGTTATATGTTTTATAAACCTTTCCTTTCAGTAGGAAAATGGCTCCTATATTTCTAAAGTACAATTAGTATGACAGGGAGCAGAGAGCAAAAAAAACTATCCTGCAAATAAAATAACCTTTTTTTTTTCTCTTGTCAGTGATTACATGAAGCTATTGATTGAGACAAAAGGCCTTGTAAATCGATCCCTAATATTTTCAAAGTGCAAGTCACTGAGTATCAAATGAATAAAGGGGGCAAGTTTCTAAAGAAACTGTGGTGCTGCATCAGTGGGAGAGTATAACAGGTAATTTAGTGTTAACTGAACTGAAAACGTAAATTAGCCACTGTAAAGAGTTTAAAGGCTGAGTAAAAAGACAATATGGCAAGTAATCAAAATTTGGTTCTGCTATAAATTAGAACATTTGTAAAACATCCCTCATCCCCACAATAAATATGATGCACAAATAAATAATCAAAGAGTGCATATAAAATAAACTTCTCTACCCACCTCAACTCCATTAACACAAAACTCTATTGCATCACCCATATGGAATTCTCTTTGAAAGGTGCCAAACGAACGGTTTCTGGGTAAGTTAGCTTTTGTGGGTTTTGCTGGTGTTTTTTCAATAACTAAGACAACAACAATGAGGAAGCAAAGCATTAGGAATGTACTGTACATGTTCCTGTGCAACCTGATGGTTAGTTAAGCCTTTACACCCTAACATCAGTATCCATATTCTCTATACAGTTCTCAATACATTTCCTATGTTGCTAACAAGGAGAATTTGTTTAACAATCAAGAGTTTTCATTGTTGGTGATCATTCCCTTTTTTTTGGTGACCTTTATGTGTGATCTGGGGGTGATATTGTATGAATGAATTAGATGCTAGTCACTCTCAAGAGTTAACCCTTTAACTCCCATGAGTGACCAAGACAGAATTTCTCCTTACAATATAAATACAATGGCAAGCAGACAAGTGATGAGAATAAAGAAGTTCTCCAAACTAACATCACAAGAACTATATTGTAGACAGTAAGGAGAATTACTCATGAGATCTTGGGAGCTAAAGGTTAAAGGGTTAATGCATTGGAATATTTAGAAGCACCAGACATAACATAAATATTGTACACACTCAATGCAGTTGAAGTGTCATGAATGCAGCTGACTGAAAGGGTGAAAAACCTTGTGAAAGCCCTCAACACCAATGGGCTTTCAATCCCTTGATCCCAAAGAGTGACCAGCATCTAATTTCTCCTTACAATAACACTCCTGAATCACAAATTAAGGTTATGAGAATAAAGAAAGTAAATGCCAACCAAAGAAGCTCTTGATCATCAAACAAATTCTCCTTGTCAACACCATGGATTTGTATATAGTACAGTATAGAGAATATGTTATAAATGTTTGGGTGTAAAGGGAGGATAACAATGAATGCAAATAAAATTTAAACTTGACCAGAGTAATATTAAAACTGATACATATTTTCCTCTCTGTACCTCTTCATGTGATTATTCAAGGCTTAAGGAACAACATAATTATCGTATAGGTAATTTTGATCGTCCAGGTGAGTGTAGTCCTGAGAAGGACTGTTGTCCATAGTGATGACTGATGTTTCGACCAAACACGACTGACCTACGCCACTTAAGTCTTACAGCCAATAACATCTCTGCAAAACTAACCAATCAGTGTACACAAACCGGACTAAGTACATTCGACTGACAACAACCTTTCACTTGACTCTGATGATGACTTCTGCTCAGGTTGTCAAAACATCAGTCACCACTACTGACAACAGTCCTTCTCAGGACTACACTCACATGGACGATCAAACTACACTATTACATGTTACCTCCAGGTTCAAACCATTTACTGAATAACATATCTATAGATTTGAGTATTTTTGATTTGTTTTCAATCTGGTCAATTTTCAATCTGTTGCAAGAACGTCATATACCAAAGAGGTGATGTCTGGTTCTTTTACAGCCTCACTATACGGGGCATGTGGTGCAAAAGAGATATGTGTCTGCTGGCAGCTACATATACTTTACCATTTGATTTTATTCCATGCTTTGACTGAATAGTTCTCCTACCAATCTATAAAACGAAAAAAAAGAATCATCAATGAAAACTGCTGTTTTGTTTTCACACGTTAACAAACGAGCAGCGCTTTCGAAGCAGCTAAAAGGAACGAAGATACAAAAAAAAAATTAAAATACTGCGATTGATGTCCGCTCCAACAATAGAAACGTGCAGATTAACATAGCCTCTATTTAAAAATCCTTCGATTTCGAGAAGAAAGGAAGCTTGTGAGTATTCTTTGAATAAAATTTAACAGGTCCTTACAACTCTTTCATATCTGCGCTGTCTGAGATACCGACAACATAACAAGCCATTTACTACAGCACCAGTAGGGCATACCTCAAAAATTTTGAGCAGAGTGCCTAAATATAAATTTCTAATTCCAAAAGAAAATCCCAAAGACGCTGGGATGGCCATAAAAATGACGATGAAAGCCAAATAGCAGAGCAAAATTATCAGCCATGTGTCCGCCATTTTGAATTTCTGCAGGTTTGAATATCCGCTGACAAGCTTCCTTACGTGTGTGTGTGTTCGATTACCCACGATTCTTCTGGCTCTGGGTCAGAGTACGTTCAAGGAGCAAAGGTACTCGCTTACATCAGCTGACTTACATTTGTTAAAACACCGCTATGTAAGGAAAATGTTTGACGCTGTCAACGAGGTGGACACTCATAATTTCATTGCTTCACGCGGAAATATGAGAAGTCCGAGACGCCGGCTGGTTTAATCGTCTTGTAACCTCAACCCTTACGTCGTTTTAGAGTCAAACTAAGCCACGAGTCAGACGGCATGCATAAAAAGGGTTCCCTTATTTCCGGTCACGAGTCATAACAATGTCCTATGTTTTTTGCATGACCAAACCTGCTGACATGATGTAGTAAAAAAAATGGAAATAAACCCTGAAACTGAAAAACCTTATAAAGATTGCTCTTCACAGAAGGGTTTATATTCGAAAAATGTATGCTAACAGATGGAAACGTTATTGGAAAAAGAAAAGAAAAAAAAAAAGAAGGAGATAGAGAGAACGAAGAAACTTTGCACAAAAGGGGCCTACAAAATTCGCAATTTCTACGCAAAGAGTAAAATTCATGAATTCACTCTACCAAGGAAACACAAGCTCATAGTCTCTTGACGGTTAACCAGCCTGACGGTAAATCAAAATTATTTTGGCCATATAATGAAGTTCTTTATTAAGCAAGGTTCTTGAGTCAAGATGCAGTTTTATACTGTATAGTGCAGAAGCATGCCAGGATTCCACCTTGGACCAAGGGATAAGGCCGAGATTACGAGTGCAGTAGAAACAGTGAAAAAACAATTTTGCTCGGATAACAAAACATGTCTGTGAACAATTTCAACAACGAGGGCCAGTGATAATTGGGAGCTCAGTAACAAAATTACACAAAAAGTCGAAACTGTTCAATCACCAAAATAAATTCTAACACATGCAATTCACCAAAATACGAATTGACTTTATACCAGAAGATCTTAATTATTCAAGGAAACAAAGACCAAAGAAATTCACACACATTTGAAAACGAATTGACAAACCGATCACTCGGTAAGAATAAGCCTCGAATTCACTTGCTAATTGCCGATGAGGAGGAGATCATGCATAAGAATATTACATAAGAATTATTCTTATTATTTATCCGACCCCCCTTGCGATAAATAATGAACGGTCCTTAAGCGTGAGGGGAAGGTGAAGTTCGCTTCTACTCGCCTGAAAAACGAAAAAAAAAAAAAAACCTGAAATTAACGCTTGTCTCTCAAGTTTCGTTACAATGAGGTATTTCTCTGAACGCCCACTAATGGAATTTGCTCGTATTATGATGTTTGCATACTGCAGCGCCGTTGCAGGAGATGTAGATTTTACCTCACTTCCGTAAAAAGTGCATATTTCGAATAATTGAGCGACGAAGTAAGTATTCTTGAATACCTCAACCCAAGAATTTCCTCAGACGTTTACATGTTTTATTTCAAAGAAACCACCAGGGAACTATTTTGGACGACAAAGTGATAACCCAATTATACTGAGCAAATCTAGGTGTGGTTGCCTGTGAGTGCCTCAAACAAAACAAAGGGATGTGTTTTAAAATTTTATTGTGAAGATTTCTTAGAACTTGAGGCAAAGTGTGAAACAGAAATTGAACTCGACATCCCAGAAAACCCCCCCTGGCACATGATGTTAGAAAATCCAGTTGTGTAAATATTTGTGAAAATCATTTTGACATCGTAATAAATAGTAGATTCGCGTGTCGGCTTTCAACAAAAAAATTAAAGCAATTTATCATTTCTGTCGAAGATAACCGCACCCAAAAATTAGAAGTTTGATAAATAGCAGTCACAGAGCATCACTCCTTCAACAAATAATAAATAACACCGCGGTAATGTAAAATCACAGCGTGATTTCAGCACATCATTACATGATCCGAAAATAAAAACCCAAGCCAGTTATGACGTAACTATGACGCAAATTCACTTCCTGAACGGAAATTGAAAACGATCAATTTAATCAGCGGTGAGCGCGAGCATATTTTAGAGATTGCTTTTAATAGTTATCTGCTTGTAGTTTTATAAATCATTTTTCTGCGCGAAAAGACAATAAAAACACAGGAAATTGTATAGGATACTCGTATTTTCTTTAAATCAATTCTAAAACTTTGCCTGGGTCTTACGAAATATAAGATCTCAATGGGTTAACGGTTAGCCCTTGGGCGTAAAAACTGATAAATTTTAACCGTAAGTCGTAAAAAAAGTTGACCGAAAAAAAAATTTCATGTGGCAACAATAGAAAGATAGTAATCGCTAGCCGTAAGCTGGCCAAAATTTTAACCGTTGGCAGTAAAATCCATCACCCCATTGAGACCTCCCGGATACATGCACTGCATCAACTTCTTTCGTTCGCCGGCTCTTCATTTAGATCAAATATTTTAGTCCCAACCAGTTTCATCAAGAGAAGATGCATTGTCTCCAAGCCGTCATTCTGGAATTTTCTTGATGTTTGCGAATACGTGTACAACTTCTGTGTACTAACTTGGCCAAGATAAGTTGTCAGACTTCAAAATGCACATGATCAAGTGCCTCTTCCAACTGCACCGCTTTACAAACAAAGTTTGATAACGATTGAATGTTTTACGAGGCGATGGAACTCTCTGGTTCAGCTCCGGAAAAAACACTGTTAGGGGCTGTTTGTTCATATTTGGAATTTCTTTTGATAACAAAAGTTAGCTAATTTTTTTTCCCGATTATATCAAAGAATAACTAAAACACACGCACTGATAAAACATACTTTGTTGATATGGTCATATCCATTGATTCAACGAGCGTATTTCCCGAGAAAAATATAACAGCATCTTTAGTAATAAAATTATCCCCGGATGAACATGATTTTCAGCAGATTAAGATGTTATGATTGATTTCCGCAAATCAAAGGAGCCAACAACTCCTCTGTGAGAGTATATCATCTCTGTCAATTTACTAACATCTTCTATAAGGCAAATCCCTTACTTGGTTTATTCGCCTTCGCGACTTCAATTAATTTCAAGCAAAACAGCTTTTACTAGAACAAGTTTTTGGACTACTTTGATTTTACTGTTCTGTTTACTGCAAGAAGTTGCACGAAACTGGTCACTTAAGGGAGGACTAACAAGTGACTATGTTGACAATAACGTGGCAAACAAAGAAAAAAAAATGCGAGTAGTTTGTATAACCCATTGCAGGAATGCTCTTGGGCTGAAAAATACGTCTTTCAGTACCTATATTGTTGGGAAATTTAACACCCTTTGCGTCAAAAATATCTCCAGCTATCGAATTGAAAATCAAATAATCCGCTTAAACGCGTTTCCAGAAAAAGCTGTTTGAGTTTCCAGTGCTTCAAAGGCGCAAAAACAAATGGCAAACACGTAGAATTCTGATAGATTCCTTGTTTTGTCTGTTCGCCGACAAGAGGCGTACCCAAAAGATCCATTAAAGCAATTGAATACCGTAGATCCCCCTATCAACTGCCACCAGACGGCAGGAAATAACTCACTGGGCAATATTCCCAAGGTGTTAATTGCCTTCGTAATCTTGCTCAGCGTTGAGATTTTTACTGGTATCGAATGATACGTCTCGAAATAGCCACATGTTCGTTTTAATCAAGAACACCAACCAAGCTGCTGTGAAATAAAAGACGCATTGCACTCAATTTTCCGCGATAAACTGCTTAGATTATTTCGTTCTTGGTAATCAATCGCTAGTATTATTGTGTTGATAGTTATCGAAAGCAAAATACTTATAGCGGGCATAAAGTACATTTGCGGACAGCTCACTAATTGCGGTGTCTAATTGTTTTCATAATTGCTCTGCTACATTCAGAAAGGAGCCCTCCCTTCAGATGAGACCCCAAGGTTAAGTTATGAAGGCACATCACCAAATAAATACGATGAATTGTCAACCGTGAATAATTTTCCTAACTTTTCCAAAACGTTATTTTTGCTCTTGAAATAAAACAATTAAAGTTGTGATTCTAGGAATGAAGATTGAATTTTTGACCAGATTTCAACAGGAGCTGTCGTTTGACCTTGTCTCCCACCAAAAGACAAAACAAAAACTTCCATCTACAAAAAAAGGTTGTGCACTTAGGCCTCTTTGCAGACTTTTTCCCCCGAATCAACTACACCTTTCCAGAAAATACTCACTATAAAACCACCAAAAATATATTTACTTCGTTATGATTGTTTAAGAAGTGATGTGTAAACTACCATTATTAAGAACAAATCTTTGTCTTTCTTTTTTAGCCATCGGCTGATGAAAAAGAACACCTTGAAAGTGGAAATGTTAGATGGACACTCAGTAACAACGAGATTGACATCACATCTTTCCTACAAAAAATGTAGGCAATTAAATACTGCCGCGGATGCTGAACTTTAGTTGACATCTGTGGGTTCCCGTGGAATGAGTTCTGTAAAATTTCGTTTCAAGCAACAATTGGGAGCAATGGGTGATAGCAGTGATTGAGCATCTGCAGGTCACATCTGCGTTTCAATCGACTTCTTTACTTTTTATAAAGAAGAAATTCTCTCATTTTGTTATTTATAAATATCTATAAAAATCTCCAGCCCTTTAATTAAGAGAAGGCCAAAAGCTCACACAATATCTTTATTTGGGATGTTTTGATAAGACTTAGAGCTCACAATATCCTTGTCCTCCTGCCCTCAGGCAAACGGGTGTAAGTACAATAATGCATCAGTTTTACTACTAGAGAAGATTTGATCTGATGTCTGTCAAAGTGTCCAGTTTCTCACAAGACGAAAGATGTTTGAGAATGACTTTTTAACCAAGTTACTAAGTATTTCTTTCGTTCTCGCACACATGGCTTTCAAATCAACTGGACTAGTTTGTAACATGATCTATTAAGATAATTCGTTAGTCTTCAATTTATATAATAATAATATTCTGGAACAGTAATGTAAAGACTGCGTCGTAAAACGAACTCACGGAAAA